GTTGATTGTATGGTCGCCATCCTCAAATGTTGTGTGTTGTGTCAGAGTCTTCGTATAGCTACGCTATCTTGGACTCTGTGCAATGTGGATTTAATTTCGAATCAGAATTGCTTTATCAAATACATTTTGATACATTTGTTTTAAATTTCTTTAAATCCACGCAACGATTAGACGTTGTTGATTGTATGACTTGTTAGGAATATGGCTTCCATACTCAAGAGGGGGTGAATTGAGTATTACAAGATTTTTGCAAAAACCCCCTTCTAGTTTCTAAATAATCATTTGAAGCAAACTTTGATATGTGGGAAGCTAATCAATACATTCAAACAATCCATAATATGTAATATATAACAATTATAGAACTTATTCTAGCATATACAAGATATCAAAGAAGAAATTAAAGTGCTAGAAATAAAGAGTTTAGAGTTTAGAGAATTGAAAACATAATATATCCTGTTTCGGTCACCACCACTTGTGACCTACGTTCAGACTGAAGCCGCTCGATCAACTCTTTCACTAATGGTCAAGCTTCACGGGTGCTTGGCAAACCTTTATAATTTTCCAACACTACAAGAATTTTTTTTATTAGTGACGAAATTTTATGAAATTTAGTCACAAATTAATGCGTCGCAAGTTTATTTGTGATGAAATTTGAATATTTGTGTCAAAAATTATCATTTGTGATAAAATTTATGACAAAATGTTTTCGTCACAAATAAACTTTTATCTTGTAGTGCAAGACTTCGGGTTCTTTGATACTTTACAATCTTCAAGTTTATGGGTACTTGGCAACCTTACAATTCACTCCAAATTTACTTAGGTATTTGGCTACCTCTCAAACAATGAGTCTCACAATCATTTCAACTCAAGAATTCAAGGAGGGAAATATTTGGAAATGAATATACACTCTCAAAGTGTGGATATACAACTTGAAGTACTATGGGTATATGAATTTTCAAGATATGAGCTCAAATATGTTTGATCTTTGAAAGATATGAAAGAATATGCAAATGATAGTGTAGAAGCTCTCAAATCATCCTTAAGATGTGTAGGAATAATGATCAAATCGTTTTAGGGTCATAAGGAATGTATCTATAATGATTTTTCTCAAAACTAGCCATTTATAGCCGTTATAGGCTTTCTGTCGCAGTGGGAATCGATTGTCAATGAGTGAGAATTCATTCCCAACCTTTTCCAAAGAGTGAGAATCGATTCATGATCATAAGGAATCGATTTCCAACCTGTTGGAAAGGTTGGAAATACGACAACAATAACATTGTTTCGTATTTTGCGCATAACTTAAGCTATTCTTGTCGGATTGATATGATCTTAGTCTCGTTGGAAAGATAAAAGAAATATCTACAACTTTTATGAAGAATACAAGATCTAAATCCATCATATTGGATACTAAAAATTGTATTGAATGCAGAAGAAAAATTATTCAGCAAATTTTAAGTTCAAATGTGTTTCAACTTGCTTCCAACCACTTTTTATGAAAGATCTTGACTTGATAAATATGTTTTGAAGTTATAAAACATGTCAAGGATCTTTTCCATGGATTTTTCAAATTTCTTTCAAGTATGTAAAGGTTTTGATTATGCAATTCGAAAAACACGTTTACTTTGAGAAAAACTTTGAGATCATGCAATGCAATCTATCATATACCCTCACATATATTCTAAGTCCTAAAGATATATTCTAAATATGATTTTAGACTTAGCTTCATGTCTTGTGTCTTGGATCTTTGCTTGAGCTTGATGCTTTGACTTGTTGGATATCACAATGCTTGACACTTTGTTGGTTTTGATCATTTTTCACCATGGTTATGATATTGAGCTTCTCTTAGATGTTGTCAATGGTTTGTTGTCTTTGATCTTAGTTTTGGTCTTCTAAATATTCCTTGTTGCTCTTGATCCAATCATCTTGCCACTTTGATATGTCATTACTCTTCTTGTGTGGCTACATCATACATCTTCAATATCCACATATATTTGATGCTTTTTGCTCTTGATTAATGCTCTTCTCTTTTTGTTGTTGTCACTTTGTTATCATCAAAAATATACCTTGTATCTACATGACTCGTTATCCTCAAGAATTGTCTATTCGTGAGAGTCTTCGTAAAACTATGTTATCTTGGACTCCATGCAATGTGGACTTAATTTCGAAACAAAGTCTATGTTATCAATTTCTTTCTAATCAAAGCACGTTTTATTAAATTTGTTTTAAATTTCTTGTAATCTATGCAACAATCGACAAATTTAATTGTATGGCTTGTCATCCTTAAGCATTTTTATTCGTAAAAGTCTTCGTATAGCCAAGCTATCTTGGAATCCGTTCAATATGGATTTAATTTCAAAATAAAATTCTTTATCAATTTCTTTATTATCAAAATACACCTTAATAAATCTGTTTTAAACTTCTGTTAAGTCACACGATGATGATTTATGGTTTGCCATCCTCATGCATTGTATGCTTCATAAGAATATATGTATAGTCATGCTATCTTATACCTTGTGCAATTGTGGGTTAACTTTTTAAAAAAATAAATAAAAAAGCAACAAATACTTTTAAATAACGACATAACTTTGATTTCTTCAATATTAAACTTTTACTATTTAATTTTTTTCTTGTAAATAATCTTGTTACTTATCTTATTTTATTTGGGTTAAACAAATATTTTAAAATTATTAATAGTTTGCACAACTATCTTAAGGTAATCATTTTTAAATGGATGTATTAGGGGTACAATGAGATCAAATTTTCACACTTTTCTGTGCATAATCACACTCCTGAACCTTGATATTAAATTTTTAAAGACCACTTTGCTAAACGAAAAAGGTTTTCCAATTTTTTCAATTTTATAAAATTGGTGGTGACTCTTTATTTTTAATTTTGAAAATAATTTCAGATCGTTACAATGTATTATGATTTCTGATATTTTATTCATAACACAATGTTTATACCAATGTTAACATGATTTCTGATATTTTATCATAACACAATGTTTATACCAATGTTAACATGCATAGCATCATAACTAGTGTAATTTTGTAAATCACAATAGAAAAAATCATCAAATAATGTATTATTCCGAATAAAGTTATATTTATAATAAACGGAAGGATGTCTCATAAAACATAATGCAAAGGTAAAATCGAAATCAAGTTTTAAGAGAAACTTGAAACATTAAAGGTTCTTTCTAAATGAAAATTAAAATCACTACTCAAAACTAAATTTCATGTTCCTACTACGACACGCGCTTGTGTACTCATCTTGTTTCTAAATGTATGCATTTAAGGGTGTTAACGGGCCGAGACGAGTCAAACTTTGGTCTTAAAAGGCTAAGTCTGTGTTTAAATGTGTCAGCCAGACCAATCATGTTTCCTGTTATAACTATAATTATTGGCATGTGGCCTGACTTATTTACAAAAAAATAAAAGCCTGCTTTAGCTTGTTTAAAAAAATAAGACAACAAAAATTTATCCAAACAGAATATACAATAAATAACACTAGTAATTCCATAAATATTCATAAATTCAATATATATCCAAACAATATAATATACAACAAAATCATTCAAAAGTCTATTTAACCAACAAAATGGTGTGAAATGGATTGAGGATAAATAGAGGGCTATTACAAGTAGTATACAAATATATAAAGTAAAAATAAAAAATAATATACTAGGCCAGCCTGAGAGGCTCTATGGCTGAGCTTTTGAATTGGAGTCTGAGACCTTTTTATTAAACGAGCTTTTATACAAGTTTAAGCCGGGTGCCAACAACCAATTTTAAATATACAAGCTCAAGACCTCACGAGTCAAACCAAAGACCCCTAATTCATTTAGCAGCTCTATATGCATTGTTCAGTTTCCATTAGTTCTCTCAAGCTTTACATACCGGGTATAGTATTAGAAACATCGTAGAATTAAAATCAATCCACTATGTGTTATAAATAACATTATTCTTATTGGATTCATAATAAATATGTGTTTTACAATAAAAACACTAATGTGGACATTACTTTTAGGTTGAATTGATTATATTACATGTTTGTGACAAATGATTTTCTAATAAAAATTAAAAAAAAAAAGTTAAGATCAACATAAGGTAAAAAAAAAAATTGTATATTATCCATGCTTTAAGCGGAAGAGCTCTATTGTTGACATTACTTATAAACTTAAGCTTCTTTACATTTATAAATATATTATTTATAAATTAATTTATTAATAGAAAAAGTGTGTATTATTTCAAAGGATACAAAGTTGTGTCATTTTAATTGAGAAAAAGAGATAAGTCATGGGAGAGAATAGGGGAAATTTTAAAAATGTAGATCCCATCTATTTGTGAAAGTGAAAGGATGTAAAGTATGTCATTTAAAATGACACACCTTTTTCCCTTTATTAATATGTAAAAAAATTTATTTTAATTTTAAACATATTGAAAGATGAGTATTACTTTTTTTTTTAAATATATTTATGTTTATATGAAATTTACTCAGTAATATAGAAATTTGTAATTATATATCAATTTTGGAAATTACAATTATATTTATGCTTGTATAAATTATTTTATACAAACAATTTATTTACTCTTTTAGTATTAAAGTTGCTGTTGAACTAAAAAAAATCATATAATTGTCAACCAGCTTCAATTTTATTTTTTAAGTTTTTAATTTTAGTATTAGCTTCCAAATAACTCTTAAGTTTGATTTTAATTAATTGCCCATATAAAATATTATATAAATAATAATATATACTAATAATACACCAAAATTAAATTTATAATTATTTGAGTATCTAAGACGAACAATACTTAAAATTTAGTCAAACGTAAATCATGTTTATTATTTCATAAGCATGATTTCTAAATACCGTGACATATTCAATTTTTATATAACAAAGTTAGAGTTATAAATTACTATTTATCAAATATATTTTTTCGGTAACACAGTATTTATTCTTCAAAAATTTAGAAAAAAAACACAAAATGAATCAAGAGGTGTGATAATATCCACTGTGGTAGAAAGAAGATGAAAGGGGTGCTCCTGCTATGGAGTCCTCTATGCTTCAACAAACTCTCTACACCCTCTCTTTCTTCTCTCTCCTTTCAAACCAGACCCTTCAAGCTCTCAATATCCGCTACTGTGGAATCCACTGATACCCAAGAACTCACAGCGAGAGAGAGAAGGCGCTTGAAAAACGAGAGAAGAGAGAGCAAAAGCACAACAAATTGGAGGGAAGAGGTTGAAGAGAGGCTCATCAAGAAGACCAACAAGCAGAAAACTTCATGGAAGGATGAACTCGACCTCAACAACCTCGCCAAATTGGGTCCTCAATGGTGGGTCGTTCGTGTTTCGCGTATCAAGGCTCAGTATGTTCCTGAACTACTAGCTCGTTCACTGGCTAAGAACTTCCCCGAGATGGAGTTTAAGGTTGTGTTTTTTTTCACGTTTCATCTTTGAAAAATCAAGTTTTGGGTTCTCAATTTTGGTGGCAAATTTGACTGCATTTTAGTGGATAAGAATGGTTTTTTTTTTTTTTTTTGTGAAAATTGCTTGTAGTTTCTGTCTTTGTTTGAATGGGGATTAGAGAATGGCCATGTTAATTGGAGTTTATAGCAAACAACCCCACCTGCTTGGGGAGATGAAAAAACAAAAGAATCTGAGGGAAAAAAAAATGAGAAATGATGTTTCATATAGGGTGTGTTTGATTAGATAAAGAAATAAGGGATAACATAGCACACAAAAAATTGCACTTTCTTTGATTGTTCAAATAGTAAAACAACTCAAGGATAGCACAAATCTCTAAATTTTCGTTGCCCACTAAACTAGGTTACAAAATATTGTCCACTTATAATGAATTTTTTGTTATTCTATCCATTTATGTCACAAAATTTTTGGTGTTGTGCATTGATCATCAAACAGCTAACAATACAAAAAATTATTTTGTGATTTAACCACTAGTATTGTACTATGTTATTTATACTGTCTCTCGACATGCATCAAATGCAACCTTAATGTTTGTTTATTTGTTTATTTATTTATTGATGCGGTATTGTTTGGTTTTAGGTATATTATCCAGCTGTCCATGTGAAAAGAAGATTGAAGAATGGTACCTACTCCGTTAAACCAAAGCCTCTGTTCCCAGGTTGTATTTTTTTGAGATGTGTGTTGAACAAAGAACTGCATGACTTCATAAGAGAGTATGATGGTATTGGAGGCTTTATAGGTGCCAAGGTTGGAAACACGTAAGCATCTTCCTACTGCCCACTTGTGTTTAATGTGTTTCCAATTACTGGCAGTTATGTCTTTTGCAATTTAGAATTTTGTTGCCTAAAAGGGCAAACAAAAACCCTACGCACAAGGCTCCCAACTTTCGGAGGCAGGGGTGAGGGTCAATTGTATGTGGCCTTACCCTTATATTTTTTCGAAGAGATTGTTTCTCATACTTGAATCTGTGATCTTCCGGTCGCAAGAGGCAACCTTACCGCTGCTCTAGGCTTGCCCTCTTAGGAATTTGTTCTCTATCTTCTGTAAATCTTTTTATGGATAGTTGGTTCTTGTGCAAAGCAAGATGCATAAAGATATTTGAGAAGTTTAATTTATGTCTTTAATTGATTAGTAATAATAAAGTGCTCGGACCTCAATGTAGAAAACAATTTCAGACAGGCAATCGTCTGAGTGAAATTTCTATCCTGTTTCCCTTGGTTTGCATGACAGATTAATCAATGATTGAATTATATTTTTTTGAAATTATACTTTCAACTGAGTGGAAAGTTTGATAGGTATACTTTCTTTGAGGACTGAGGAGAACATAGAACGGGGTACCTGATTAAATTATGATGAATTGAGTAACTACTAACTAGCCTTATTTTCTAAGATTTCAAATGGGTGGTGTCTTTTAAGCTTTCATATTTTCTAGCTTTTGATTTCAGATATTAAAACCATCTTATATCTAACGTCTAAAATGCATATTTTTCCCTGTTCAGCCTAACTGGAATCTCCCAATTGTTTTTGCATTTGCAGAAAGATGCAGATTAACAAACCAAGGCCAGTATCTGTCGCAGATATGGAAGCAGTCTTCAGACAGGCAAAAGAAGAACAAGAAAAAACTGACCAAGCATTTGAGGAAGAAGAGAAAAATGCTGTCTTAAACTCTGGGTTTCCCAATGCAGAGTTAGAACCAGATGCTTCAAATGCTATTGTTGATTCTAAGCCTAAAAAGGGAGCTACAAAAACTTCTGCTAGAAAAAATTATAAACTGTTTGTTCCAGGTTCCACCGTCCGGGTTTTATCTGGAACATTTTCAGGGTTTGCAGGCACCCTCAAGAAGCTGAATCGCAAAACCAAAATGGTGAGATGCTTCCTTAACAAGAATATTTGGCATAAAGACTTTTGTGTTCAAGAATAAAAAAAATAAGATATACACAAGTTTGGGATAAAGATTTTGGTAATGTTAATGCTAATACACAAGTTTATGTGACAAAAAATTTCGGCATGCCAATATGTTAGTTTAAATGGCTGTGAAGCCTGGAAATAATGTGTGAATTAATGAGTGAAGAAATAACCTGAATATTTATCTTCCTCTTTTGTGTTGATTCAAAATTAACCTTCTTCATGCAGGCCACAGTGCATTTTACTCTATTTGGGAAAGAGAGCATAATAGACATAGATGTTAGTGAAATTGCTCCTGAGACAAAGTGATGACTGTAGGTTCTCTCTCTTGATGGTATGCTTCACGTTTTCTGCAGTACTCATAATACACATGGTACGCACATAACTTTGGATCATTGACATTGAAAAAAATTAAATAAAATTGAAGAGCTGCACACTGCATGCTCTTTTGGCTTTTTCCATTTTGTGGGTTAAGCTTGATTTTTTAAAGAAAATGAAATGCTTTCTTATCTAGAGCTTACTTATGTATTATGAGTCATGGGGAAGTTAAGGAATTTTCTGTTGGTAAGAAAAGCTGGACATTGGTAGAAGCTGTTTGCTGGTGCTTGATTCCCAAAATTGAAATCTGAGATGTCTAAATGCTGAAGGCCTAAATTTTGAAGGGTTTTAGTTGCAAGTTGCATTATGCTATTGCTACTGCACATTTGACAGTTGAATCCTTCATTCCATCTGGCTCTATAAAAGGGATTGATATCTTGAATGAACTTAGTGATGATTGAGTTCAAAAGCATGATTTGGAGTTATGCTGCTACTACAGCTAAAAACAGATTAGGATGATATGCCAGTTTTCTTATCCATTTTGTACATGATATTTGAATTATTTTTTAAAAAAAAAACAAAAAAAATTATTCTGAGTTCTGAGACTCAGTAACATTTTCTATTAAATGTCTTAGGTTAAGTGCTATTTCCAAGCAATTTTGTGTGTTAACTGTTACGACTTATAATGTCTTAGTTTACTGTCGCTATTAAGAGATGACAGACATAATTAAGATATATAATTAGTGACTGGATTGTCCAATGTGATGTACATTTGTTGATTTTCATATACCAAATTACCAATGCTCAAAAGTAACTTATATTCTCAAGTGTACGACAACCTTCTTCACTTCATACATCGTTTTAAACTGCTGTTTTGTCAAATCAATAATAATTGAAATGTTGGTTGATAGAAGTTAACTTATATCCACTTGTTCTGTGGATAAGGACAACAATGTTAGTTTTCTACGTCATTTCATTTTATCCCGTGACCTTGATTTATAATTTGATTCTTATGTAAAAATAATAATAATAATAATAATATTCAATTTAATCCTCATATGTAAAATTATTTTTATGACAACTGTATATTAAGTGGTGTGTACATAGTTTTACAATTGTTAGCAGAATGCCCCTACTCTATTATTATTATTATTATTTTTTATACAATGATAGAAATTGAACACATAACTTAATATAAATTATTCAAATTCTTCGCCACTAAACCAGTCCTAATGGCTTTTGTCCTACTCTTTTGATATACATCGATTACACAACTAATTTGGTTTGAGTTGGGTAAAATTACATGGAGAAAAAGTTCTCCTTATCGAATTTCAATATAACTGTGTTTTTAAAGACTGGAACTTGATATCACTGATTAAGGTAGAATAATTTATTACCGGTTGATCCATGTAATTGATGATGTTTGTGTATGATATCTGAATCACGAGGGAAGCTCATCTTTGGGTTTCTTTAAAAGCTGTTTCTGACTAATTTTGTCCTAATCTGTGTTCCTTTATATCTTGTTGGGTTCGTCTAATAAAGTTCACTTGAGTCATGACCCAAAAAGAAGGAAAAGAAAGTTACAATTGAAGCTTTTTAGGTTGTTTTTATATCAGGGAAGTGGGGGGAAGCGGTGGCCAGCATGGCCTTCACTAGGACACAACTAGTTTATTGGTCCCCTACGTCTCTACTATTAAGAGCTTAGTATGTGTTTGGTATGACTTGTAAAATCCAAACCCATGTTTGACCCGTATTTTCTCATAATCCCATTTGATATAATCTAGTTATATGAGACAACTTCAGTCGTTTTTTCTTCACATTCTATTATAGTGCGTTCCTTTTCCCATTTCTTTTCAATGTTAATATGTGATTAAGATTGTCTCACATAATTTACTCATATCAAATGAAACATTAAAATATCATTATTTGATTTTGATATGATTTTGTCTTTCAAAATTTGTTTGGCTATTTTTTGAAACCAGTGCACCAAAATCAAGGATGGCCATGAACTCCTGCTTGAACAAAAACAAAAAACAAAATTTACTTTATGTTAAGAGAGACTTTGGGTTATTAGACAGTTTTTTTTTTTTTTTTTTTTTTCTCTCTCACTCTTTCTCTCTCTGCATAAAGAAATATGAATATTTTTAAAAAACTAAGTGTCCAAAATTCGAAGTGTCCTAACAAGTATATATTGGTTTTGGATTTGAGTCTCTTTATCTTTAGATAATTCAAATCCTGAGATCTAGCATATATTGGGTAAGAAGTATGAATTTTAAATCATTTGATTATTATATTTCTTAAAGTCTTGATCAAAATTACCCAAACAATATATTTTTTCCAAATTACTTTTCAAATAAAGGAATCTAAATACAAATCACTTTGTTTTAAACTCACTTTTAACTAAAGTTAATTTTACAAAATTAAAATTATCCAAACTCAAGTTTGTAAACGCTACTATAATCACATATTTACCTATACAGCGAAATAGAATGTACTTTTTATTAACTTTTTCTTGTTGAAGATGAAACACGATGATAAACGTTATCAACTTTTTCTTGTAGAAGATGAAACACAATGGCAACAAAGCACTGCGAAAGCGAAATAACAAAAGAAAAAGGGACAAGTAAGGCCAACTTTCTTGCCAATCACAGTGTGTTTGTGGCCTTTCACTGTTTGCAAGCAGGGACAGATCGCCATAAAGGGCGATAGAAGGATAAGAAGATACAAAAACCAAAGAGGAAAACCCCATTCTCCAAAGTTTGTCAGAAAGATATCAATGCCAGAAGACAGAGAAGAGGGAGATTTTTTTCATTATTGGACTATGGTTTCAAGTTTCGACTTCCAACTCTTGAGGAAAATGGTTTTCCTATTTTTTATATAATTTTCTTCTAGTTTCCATTTTACCTAGTTACGTTTTATTATAATTTTCCATTTTTCTGACTTTCGATTATAATCGTTAGCAAAGTGGGCATTTAACTGAAATTAAGTTTGCAGTGTTTAAAATGAAATCTTGAATATCAATTAGAGGAAATTGATACAAATAAATATCCCCTTGATGCTCATGAGATTTAATAGTTGTGAACTATAAATTATGATAAAAAAAAGTTTGTCTCTTTAAAGGATACAAATTGTGTTATTTTAATTTTTAATACTATATATTACGAGTAATACATAGTTATAATATAAAAAATTATTTTTTTCTCTCTCTTAAATCACTTCAGTGAGTGGCAGAGCCCGCAAGGCATTTAAACTAGTGCCAAAATATTCAGTTAGTGCCACAGTTATATAGCTACGACCAAACATGGCTAATTTTCAAAAAAAACTTGAAACATGATTTGCTACGTTTAAAGCGTAGCTAAATGTGGCTAAATTAGTCAATGCCAAGATATCTGTTGGCACCAACGTGACTCCGCCACTGACTCCAATTGATACGAAGAAAAAAACTAAAAAGATATAAATTGCTTCCTTTCAAAGACAAATATTAAACCCATGAATTATATCAGTTTCGAGCTTAGTATATCAATGTAACAATGATTTATGAGATAGAGATAATAGATCAAAGCTCAAAAGATAGTGTCTCAGACGAAGCCCAAGAATTAAGGAGGAATGTGAGGACAGCAGCATAATAGCTCTACAAATATTATATAGAAAATGTCTCTTTAATACTTGAAGAGGGGTATAAATAGGTGAAAAGACTCCCTCATAATAAGTCATAAATGTTTTATCCTTATGAACCTACTATGTATGAGGCATGTACATTCACACCACATGATACATAAGGTGTGAGTTGTGTTATGTAGGGAAATAAATTCTTCAAATCATTTCAATTCAAAATACTAAGGTGTTAGATAATATTTTTTTAATAGTTTATATTATTTTCTAAATTATTATTTTTTTGAAACTGATCCTAATTACCTCTTTGAGGCGAATCAGAACCCCCTGGTATCCTCACCGGTTTGACTCTTTGAGCCGTCTATGGGACTAATTCAGAGTTGGGGTGCGAGTCCAAGGATTACGGTACTTATGCCCCTCCCCAGATGGTGTTGGTGGGATATTATTTTCTAATATACCCCCTCACGTAAGAGCCCTTTGGACTTCAAGCGTGGATATTGCATCAAAATTTCGATATCCCTTTTTATTTCTCATCAAACGAATGACATCTTCTTTTCCTAGCTATTCTTAGGATGATATTGGAGAATCTCGATTTATTTATCTCATATAGTGGATGTGCCCGAATCGCTAAATGATTTTATGGGATCTGATCTTGTAAATCGAATAATTCAAAAATCATTCTTCAAATTAATTAATTAACGAATTTGTGATTCCTGAATATTGAACTAAGTTATTAATTTTTTTATAACGTATTCCATTTTTCTTAATTTTTTTGTTGGTTTAACTTATACTTATTTAATTCCACAAGTAGGGACGATTATGATCGAATTCGTGATCTTATGATAACTGAAGCTCTAATATCATGTAAATCACTTCAACCCAAAATTTTAAGATGTTAAATAATGACCTTTTTAATAATTTATATTATTCTCTAAGATCCTTCACTAAAAATAAATCTCACACAATAAAAATAAATCTCACTTTAGTGAGATAAGTAGTATAGCCCCTTGAGTGTGGTGGGTCTTAATGGCCGACTCATTAGATTGGCCAGTATAACTAGTCGGAAATAAGTTGCTATTACAATTTTCCTGTTTTCGTGTCCACAACAAAAGCTTTGGGGAATTGCGTAGAAAAAGCATAGCCAAAAAAAAAAACACTCCAAGAAACTGTGTATATATAAAGGAATTTTCCTTTAACCAATTCAGGACATTTCATCGGGAGTTCAATCATATGGCTAGCACTAACACAGACAAAAAAAAATTGCAAACTAGTGTAAGTTGTCTTGAACTCATAACATTCTTTTGAATCCTTATCATTCTCTTTGCAAACCACATGAGCAATGTATATCGGAGTGTACCTTTCTCATTCAAATCATCATTGCTGGTGGTCTAGTACTATTATTTATATTTGTTGCCTTGTTAATCTAGCTTCCTTAAATTCTTAAGAATGTTAATTTTTCATGATGGATGAAATTTTGATTGTTAATAATGTTTTCAATAACTCTGTAACGCATCCAGAAAAAGTCATGATGTTATTCGATTTCGATATTTTTTTTAATTTGTTATTGTTTATATTTATTGTGAAGAAAGTAAGAAAAAAAAATTATTACTTGATAGCGAAAGAGATGCAAACTGTTCAACGTGCACAGTAACTTAGGTTGCCCATAACTATTACTAACGTAAGAATGTTAACCACTATGACATGACATTGAACCAATATCATTTAACTTCTACACCTAGAAAGCATTATGAGCTCAAACACTATAAGAATTGACTTAAAAACAGACAGAAAGAAAAACGTTACTCAAATAGTTTTTAATTTTGACTTTGAAGTTTAAACAAAGTATTAGGTATGCTTAGTTTCTTAACTTAAACGTTAAAAATATAATAATAATAACAAAAAACATAGTATCCCTTAATTAAAAGTGACATTTTACTCATAAATTTTTTTTAATCAATTGTATATCTAATTAAGCTCTGAGTTATATATTAGTATAAATTGCACTCCAATTGTTTTTCTTTATATTTAACATTCTAATTTATTAAATATGTGAGTAGGGGTGACACTTCAGATTGACACAATACAATTTAAAAAATGGATTAAAACGTTTGATACAAACACAATTCACATACTGTGTGAGTTGACACGATACGAAACAAATGACATGTAAATCTCAAATTGTGTCACTTATTATACAAATTGACATGACTTACATAATATGAGTAACTTGTCAATTTCAAAGTGTGTTACTTACTATGCAGATTGACACGACATATAAGATACAATTAACCTATACAATAAATGTTGTTTTTACCTATGTCGTGTTGAAGCTATTAATACGACATGAATAATATATAAGAAGATTAACACAAGTTAATTTCGTGTGTTTGAAGATTAACAAATAACATGATACAATTTTTTTAGTGTTAATTTTTGCCAACACGAATATAATACCAATTAATTTAAAAATGGGTCGACTCAAACACAAATTTCTTGTGTCATGTCAGTGGATCGTGTTACAAATTTTCACTCATAATAAAATAGATTAATGATCAAGATCTAGTGAAAAACTTTTTATTTTAATGAATCATACTATTATATGTGTATACAGATAAACAAAGAGCATCAATAGATCATGATTCGACTTTGATTGTTATGGACTGGTGCCACAATCTAGTCCTAGGCAGACAGACCTTATTTTAACAACGGGAACTGTAACCATAAAAATGGTCTCCTCTTTAGTTTGATTATATCAACAAATATCAGAACCAAAATATGTTATTGCTATGGGAGCCTGTACAATTAAACTAAATAACTTATAAAAATCTTTCTGTATACAATGGTATTTTATTTTTCGTCTATCAAGCGTACATTGAATGTTATCAGTAGGATTCCACCCAGTTCATCAACCACACCAATTACGATTAAATTGCAAATCAGATTATTTGGTATGCAGTAATTTACTTATTTAAATATCATTATGGACAATGATGCTGCAACACACAAAGCCCTGGCCCTACGTGAAACCCATATATATGTGTACTCGTTGCTTTTATTTGACGTTTGATGCAAACATGTGTGAAAGAGAAACAACACCCTGATCGGTTGAGACCAAATCTGAAAGTCTTGAAGACAGGGAGGAAACAAAAGTCAAGTAATTAATGTATTTCCTCTTCTTTTGATAAATAAGTGTGGACAGTTTTAAGAGTTTGATTTTAATTTGTTGCTAGTGTAAAGTTCTTATATTATTATGTATTCATATGTTCCCTCATTATCTAAAATTTTTAAGTTTCCAAGGAATTGTTAATTTCTTAAAAACAAACTCAATATAATAATTTAATAACACATTATCTTATATAATGTAAAGCACATTGAATTATATTTTTAATCTTTCACAAGTTAATGTAATTTGTCTTAGTCATGTGTATGCGAATACAAAAAAATTAAATTTTACAAGCAACTTGTAATTTAAGAGTGTGCATTTTAAGAGTGTTTGCAACTTGTTTGCACACCAACTAATCTCTAACCCAATAACTAAAAAAATGCATGACTAATCACAAAAAAAATATATGCAAATATTTTTAGCTTGAGAAATAAAATAAAATAAAAATCATCCACCTATAACTTGAAGAATGGCACGTTATGAGTTAAGGAATGTCAATGAATCTCTTATATTAAAATTTTATTTAAAAGGGTCATGTGAAATTTTATATCGAAATCTTTTTTGTTGTTGATAAAATATAATTGAACTTAGTTTACCAAAAAATATATATATAATTGAACCCCATTAAATAAACCCAAAAATTTGACTTAATCTGATTTGAAATTTTTTTTAATTTCTTCAAGATATTTTCTGATCTGAGAGCTCAAGATTAATCATTTTGAGATGTAGAGATTATCAAAATGAATTTTACCTCAATCAATAAAGTATTTTCCATACATATAACAAGAAATCAAATCTTATGAACATATTTAAGGAATCCAGACTTTGTTCGTATCTTGATGTGAAATTTCAAAATTGAAGAATACAATTCCTTATGTTGGGTTAAGGAACAAGACAAGAAAGCACGTAGAGATTAGTTTTAAGCGAGAGCTTCGCCCATGCCAAAGTGGACGCGAGGCACAAGCATGACTCATCCCCACTTTCTCCGTGTCTTTTGCAAAACGTGAAAGTGCCTCGTGGAGTGCAATGGGAGGAGCACACGAGATAATGCATTTCGATATGAGCCCCTTTTCGCATAAGTGGAATCACTCTCTCTCAACACTATGTTTTTCTTTTTCTTCTATTATTTTAAATTCAAGCGAATTTAAAAATATAAATTAAAGAATTAAAACTACGAAGAAATTAAAACTTCTATGTTGGGCTTGGAACTTTATGTTGCCTTTTGTTTTTTGAGATTATAATCATTTTATTGAAACTTAAAGTCACTTTCACAAATCAATAGAGTTAAATAGGAATGCTCATGAGTTTACATAAATTTGTGAACTCTCAAATCCAATGACAAATATTTTAGTTAGTTTAGTTAATTTTAATAGTATTGATTTAGGTTCGGATTTGTGAATTTTCACATTAGTGAACCTGACCCAACCTCATTTATTTCTAAACTCCTACAATTTGATTTTCTTATCTCATGGTACTTTAAAGAAATATGAAATTTAAGAGCCATGAAACAAGCATTATTCATATATAAATATGTGTTATGTGAAGTTATTTAAAATCAATTATTATTATTTTTGAAAAATAATTTATTATTTTAAAAGACACAGTTTATGTCATTTTAAATAAAACAATAATATTTTAATGTATATTTGTTGGTCTTTTATATTTTCTCCCTTCATAATTCACATCAACAAATCAATAAATATATATTAAAATACAATTGTTTTACTTGAAATACACATAGTTATGTCCATTGAAATGATAATTTTTTTTTTCCTTTGCGTTTTAGATCCTGTCTGTGTATTACACGGAATGAAAAGTTAAATAACCAAGTATAGTTATAATGTTATACACATTAGCTAGCTAGCAAAGTAGGTTTTATAATCACATGACACTAAAACCTAAAATTAGCTCATTTACAATCAATGAAGTGGACCATAATGGAACCAAAATTTATTAAAAAAGTCAAAATTTAATTAAAGTTATCATTTATCCATGGTTGAGAATATTTCAATTTGATTTCATAAGGAATATTTCAAGAGGAGGAGAATATTTTTGGGACAACCAAATAAAAAATTGCCTTTATTATATTCCCTTGGTCATCTGCCACTGAGAAAAAGGCAACCACCAAAGTTGCAGAAACCAGTAAAACCTATTTAATTTTCACAACCTCCAACCCAACTTCCCCAATATACTTTACTTGCTTCCTCTGCTTTCTTTTACTCAGACCCTAAACAAAGATTCAACCTTTGAAGCCAATGGGATCAACCCACCAACCCTAGTGTGAGACTAAAACAAGATTCATCTCAAAACACCCACTTCAATTATGGCAGCATTTACCACTTCCCATTACTTCAAGGCCTTAACTTTCATCATTCTATTCCTCAAAACCCTAGCTTTTGAAACAACCTCATTGTTCTCTTTTGCTGATTTTGAAAAAGATCTAAAATTTAAGTCCAGTGTGGCCCTTTATGGTAATGCAAAGGTTGTCAATGGTGGTGGGTCTGGGATTCATTTCTCTGGTTCTGGGAGTTCAGCTGCTGGGAGAGTCATGTACAAGAAACCCATCAAGCTTTTTGAAGGTAAACCAAGGCAATTAGTATCATTTTCAACTTACTTTGCATTCTCAATCTCCTTGGATAATGGGGGTGGTTTGGCTTTTGTTATGATTCCAAATGGTTCTGAAGGTGATGTTTTTCATAAAAGTTCATCTGGGGTTCCTTTTGGATTGAAGAATAGAAATTTTGAAGTTCTTGGTGTTAAGTTTAGTGCTTCAAGGGATGGTAGAAATGGGGTTTCTACTAGTTGTAATGTGGCCTTGAATTTGGGTAATTCAGTTCATGCTAAAATATTAAGCAACACCTCCTCTATCAATTTTGCTCTAACAAGTGGAGAAAAGTTGCATGCTTGGATTGATTATGAAGCAAGTTCAAGGCGCATAGAAGTCAGATTGAGTCAACATGGTAATTCAAAGCCTTTTGATCCATTGCTCTGGCACTCAATTAACTTATCAAATGTGTTGAAGGAGGAAAAAATGTTTGTGGGATTTAGTCCTTTGAAGGGGAATGCTTCTCAAGAATGCTTTCTCTATTCATGGAGCTTTGTTCTAAGGCATTTTCCACATTCTATGCATTCAGAGCCTCTGGATCCAAAGGCCCTTGTTAAAAACATTGAAACCCCAAAGGTTAATAAGCCAAGGAGTGATTGCTTTTTAAGAGTTCTTGCTGCCATGATATTTGGTACAGGATGTGGAGCATTAACAGCATTTATTGTGCTCTACTTGTGGACCATCTTTGGCAATAGACGTGCAGTGGTGCCAGTTGAGTGTGTTATGCAACCTGTAGATGTTGAATATAGGAAAGTCAAAATCGTTATAGATAAATCTATGGAAGATGGTAAGAAGTAGATCTTCTTCATGAGGGAACTGGTTTGAAGCTTGTGTTTGTAAATTTAGTGTTTTTTGTATTTAGGTTTTGATCTGTTATAGTAGTAGTAGTAGTAATCTGGTAGAAAACTATCTATTTGGCTTTTGTTACGTTGTTTATTGTTGATAAATTGAGATTGAGATCCTACTCTGCATTAAAGATTTTGATTACTTTCTCTAAAACATGCCCAAATTGAAGTTATTAATGAACTGTATGAGGTTGCCAACATAGTTTTTTTTTTTTTTTGCGGTACAGCTGAATATTGATTTTATTGTATGATGATAACCACAATCAGTGTATATTAATTGGCTCAAATGTTTACCCAAAAAAAATTGGCTCAAATTATAAATTGTTTGGGACCATCAAGTAAAATAGAAAGAATTAATTAAATACAATAGAAAAAAAAAAAAAAAAAAGTTAAAGAGTTGTCATTCACCATGTTTGTTATAATTTAAAGAATAAAAATCGATATTTTGCTATTTAGTTTAATTTCATGAATAAAAAATAAAAATTTATGTAAAATATACAATGAACCTACAACTTTTTTTGGCTTTCTTTCCATCTAATCAGATAAAAAAAAAACATTGTAGGATAGGAGTTATCAAAATGTCATTCCCTAAAAATACTTTACTTTTTATGTATACATAATCAAAATAGCTTTTTGATATTGTGAGGGATCTTGAATATTTAAAATAGAGAATGCCATACATAGAATGAGAACAATAAACATTGATTACCAATAAAAAAACAATAACAACATTTAACTATCGGTTTCGCCATCTATCTATGGGTTGATCAAATTCAAGAGTAGGTGGCAAAACGTATTGTGACCCACGGGTCGATTTGAAACACGATATGTTAAAATACGCATTATGTCGACCTGAAAATAAAACACGTCGTGTACAAATTTGAATAAATGACAAAAATTAATTGTGTTACGAGTTGATCTGTGTCAATTGAAAAGAATTTTTTTGTCTCAAAAAAAATTAAAATTAAAATTGGTAATTTTGACACAACCTATTGCGGGTTGATCAACCCGCATATTTTATTTAATTTTTTCTTTTTTAATATTTTTGAAAAATTAAATTTTTAATTTTTACAAGTAAGCCTGTAAGACTCAAAAATAGGTCGTGTTCAAATTGAAAAAATATGACTTACAAGTCAAACTTTGATACGACACTATTGCAACCTGCCAACACATTTTAACATCCTTATAAGGAGGGTGTGAATGGTAGTGCGTGTAGATTTATTTTCCTGAAGTACAGACAAATTTGAATTTTCGATAACGTAATCTTGTAATTTAAAAGTTATTTATGTTACCAGACTCAAATCCTATTGGGCTTGATGATCCTAATGAGGCTCGGCCCACTATAACTTAATGACTTAATCTCTTAGTCCATAAGTTGTTAGATTATTCAGTTAGTTAGTTAGGCTATTAGCTACTGCAATTAGTTTAGTATAAATGCTTCTCCTTCAATGTACTGAAGCTCATTATTCAATATACAAATTTTCCAATCTTTCTTCTCTCTTGATTCCTGCATGATGAATTCAAGATCATAAGATGGTATCAGATTTTTTCCGCTCTTTTTGCTGTTTGCATCTCTGATTTCCTTTCTTTTCTTTTTTTCCTATCAGAATTCCCTTCTTTGTTCTATTTTCTTCTTTTCTTTTGGATTTTTCTTTCATGGCGAATCCGAACAATGTCTTTCCTGATTTCTATACAAATCCTGGAAATCCTTTCTTTTTGCATCCGAGTGAAAATCCTGGTTTAGTACTTGTTTCACCTCCTCTTGATGAGAGGAATTATCACTCTTGGTCCAGATCTATGACCATGGCTCTCTTGAGCAAGAACAAGATTGGTTTCATTGATGGCACACTTCCACCACCACCAGATCTTGATCCTTCTTTTCATGCATGGCAACGTTGCAACATTATTGTCCTATCATGGATTCATCGGTCCATAAACAGCTCCATTGCCAAATCCATTCTTTGGATAGATCGAGCCAATGATGCATGGGCTGATCTTCGAGGTAGATTCTCTAACTCTGATATCTTCCGCATCTCAGATTTACAGGAAGATATGTATCGCATGCAACAAGGTGATAGATCTGTCACTGAGTATTACACTCAAATGAAGATGATGTGGGATGAGCTTGATAATCTCCAGCCTCTCCCTGTGTGTGGTTGTGCCAATCCGTGTCTGTGTGGTGGTTATACCTTGATGAGGACCTATCGAGTTCGTGATCAGGTGGTTAGGTTTCTCAAAGGCCTGAATGAGCAATATGCTCATGTGCGTTCCCAAGTTATGATGATGGATCCTTTTCCAAGTTTAATTCGAGTCTTTTCTTTGATAGTCCAACAAGAAAGACAAATGCACAGTAATTTTTTGGTTGATGACAACAGTGAGCCCAAAGCTTTTAACAGCTTCTCAGATAATCAGCATCGCACCTATTTTGGCCGAGGCAGGGGTCATAATCCTCTTGCATTTTTCAATAAGGGTCGTGTTCCAAGTAAACTGTATACTTACTGTGGAAAGCCCAACCACACTATTGACACTTATTACCAAAAGCATGGTTTTCCTCCTGGTTTTAAATTCAGAAACCCCCAAAGCCAATTTTGCATCTCAAGACAATGCTGATCACACAGAAGGTGCTGATAATCAGGATGGACAGATTACTATTTCTCAAGAGGAGTATCAGAATTTGATTCAAGGCTTGCATTTGGACCCTGCCAATGAAGCCACTCCCATCAGTTCCACGAATTTGGTTCACACCACTGCCATGAATGCCAACACCTCCAACATGTCAGGTACATTCTCCTCCAGATGGCTCCTAGACACAGGAGCCACTGACCACATTAGTAGTTCCTTATCACATTTTTCGAAGTTATCCCAAATCAATCCTATTTCCATTACTTTACCTGATGGCTCCCACACTATTGCACATTCTGCTGGTACTGTTATTTTCTCTCCTACTTTAACATTACTTGATGTTCTATTTGTCCCTTCCTTTCATGTTAATTTGGTCTCGGTTACCAAATTAATTAAAACCAATTCTTGCTACCTAATTTTTCGTGATTCTTATTGCTTTATCAAACAGATGCATACCAATGTGATGATTGGTTCAGCTGATCAAACTGATGGGTTATATGTGATGTTGTCTACAAGTTCCTTTCCTACTGCATGTACCAATACTCACAGCAGTTCAACCAAGTCTGCTTATACTGTTTTTCCTCATTCTGCAAATAATACTGATGCCTCCATGTTATGGCATCATAGAATAGGTCATGTATCTTTACATACTTTGAAACAAATGGCAATAAAATTTCCCTTTCTTTCTACTCAGGACATATCTCCATGTGATACTTGTCAATTTGCAAAACAACACAAATTACCTTACCCCATTAGTAATACCAAATCCACTTCTATTTTTCAATTAATTCATGTAGACATTTGGGGACCTTATTCCATCCCTTCTGTTCATGGTCATAGGTATTTCCTCACCATTGTTGAGGATTTTTCACGATTCACTTGGGCTTTATTAATAAAATCCAAAGCTGATGTCAGACAATCTTTAAAAGGTTTCATCTCCATGGTCCAAACTCAATTTCATATCACTGTCAAGTGTATTCGTTCTGATAATGGTGTTGAATTTGCAATGCCTTCTTTTTATCAAGATAAAGGTATACTTCATCAAAGGAGTTGTGTGGAAAACCCCCAACAAAATGGTTTGATTGAAAGAAAACACCAACATATCCTAAATGTGGCCAGGGTTCTCATCTTTCAATCCAAACTGCCTTTACCCTTTTGGTCCTATGCAATAACTCATGCAATTCACATCATCAATAGAACCACTACTCCCTTACTCAATAACCTTACCCCTTATGACATTTTGTATGACAAAACCCCTACTTTGCTACATCTTAAAGTTTTTGGTTGTTTATCATATGCATCCACCCTTCTTTCTCACAGAACGAAATTTTCCTCAAGGGCTCACAAAACTGTGTTTTTGGGATATCAGGAAGGTGTCAAAGGGTACATTCTTCTTGACCTTAACACTCGAAAAAATTTTATTTACAGAAATGTCAAATTTTTTGAAACTGTTTTTCCATTTGACTCTCAACCTCTTTCATTAACTACTCCTCTTGTCTCTGATTCTGTCTCAGCACAACCAGCCACACATGACACTACTTTCATTTCATTTCCCATTGATCAACCAGTTTATCCCACTCAAGCTTCTATCCCACATCAACCAGTTACTACTTCACCTAATGAGGCTCATGCCTCTATCATACCAGCTGCCCTTGCTTCTGATCCTAATGTACCAACTACTTCTGTTTCTGACCCAATCTTCCCAGCTGCTCCTGTTCCCACCAGAAGGTCCAATAGAATGAGCAGACATCCCTCATACTTGCAGGATTATCACTGTAACTTATCAGCTACATCATCTCATCCGAATCATTCAGGTATTATTCCTTCCCTTATCCCTCACCCTCTTTCTTCTGTTTTATCTTATGAAAAATGTTCTACCTCATACAAAATTTCCTGCTGCAATATTTCCACACACAAAGAACCAACTACCTATACACAAGCTTCCAAGCATGACTGTTGGCGTAAGGCAATGCAGGCTGAAATTTCAACTCTTGAACAAAATAATACTTGGAGTCTTGTGCCTCTCCCTCCTGGCAAGAACACCATTGGCAGTAAATGGGTATACAAGATCAAATTCAATGCTGATGGGTCCATTGAAAGGTATAAGGCTCGACTTGTAGCAAAAGGCTACACTCAAACAGAAGGTCTTGATTACCTTGACACTTTCAGCCCAGTTGCGAAGCTCACTACAGTACGTTTGTTACTTTCTCTTGCTTCGGTCAATCATTGGTTTCTGGAACAGCTTGATTTCAACAACGCCTTCCTCCGTGGTGATTTACGTGAGGAAGTCTATATGGCCATTCCATCGGGCATTCCTTCTTCAAATTCCTCTATGGTTTGCAAGCTTCACAAGTCCATCTATGGGCTCAAGCAAGCTAGCAGGCTATGGTACTCTAAGCTCTCAACTGCCTTGCTGTCTCTTGGCTATTGCCAATCCCAAGCTGATTTCTCCCTCTTCACACGAAAGCAGGAAAATTCCTTCACAGCTCTCCTCATATACGTTGATGATATCATTCTTGCTGGTGATGATATGACTGAGATTTAGAGAGTTAAATACTTTTTGGATATGAAATTCAGAATCAAGGACCTTGGCAAACTTAGATTCTTTTTGGGGCTAGAAATCTCTCGATCCTCATCAGGCATCATACTCAATCAACGATAGTACACTCTAGAGTTGCTTTCTGATTCTGGTCTTTTGGCTTGCAAGGCTGCTACTACTCCTATGGATCCTTCACTTCGACTTAAGCGTGATTTAGGCCAGCCTCTACCTGATGTTTCTGCCTATCGTCGACTTGTTGGGAGATTATTGTATCTCACAACTACTCGTCCGGATATCAGTTTCACTGTCCATCAACTCAGTCAATTTTTATCTGCTCTAACTGATATGCATCTTGAAGCTGCTCATCGAGTCCTCAGATATCTTAAGGCTTCACCAGCTCAAGGCCTTTTTTATCCTACTGATTCCTTGATGCAGCTCAGTGGCTTTGCAGATGCTGATTGGGCTTGCTGCCCTGACACACGTCGATCGATTACTGGTCTCTGTATCTTTTTGGGTTCTTCACTCATCTGTTGGCGATCGAAGAAGCAAAGCACCGTTTCTCGCCACGGAAGCTGAATATTGAGCCTTGGCAGCCATTACATGTGAAATCCAGTGGCTCTCTTTTCTCCTTCACGATTTCTGCATCCCCAGAGAGAAGCCAATTCCTGTTTTCTGCGACAACAATTCTGCCATCTACCTTTCTCACAACCCGGTTTTTCACGAGCGTTCGAAGCACATCGAACTTGACTGCCATATTACCCGTGAGAAGATCCAAACTGGCCTCATCCATCTTCTTTCTATCTCCACTGCTGATCAAATAGCTGACATTTTCACTAAGGATCTATTGCCTTCTCCTTTTCACACGCTGCATGCCAAGCTTGGTCTTTATGATGTTCACAACCCAGCCCAAGCTTGTGGGGGGGTGTTACCATACTCAAATCCTATTGGGCTTGATGATTCTAACGAGGCTCGGCCCACTATAACTCAATGACTTAATCTCTTAGTCCATAAGTTGTTAGATTATTCAGTTAGTTAGTCAGGCTATTAGCTACTGCATTTAGTTTAGTATAAATGCTTCTCCTTCAATGTACTGAAGCTCATTCTTCAATATACAAATTTTCCAATCTTTCTTCTCTCTTGATTCCTGCACGATGAATAAGATCATAAGAATTTACACATACCCAATTAGTTTCAAACCTCAATTTTAAAAATCATTTAAGAGCTGTTTAAAGCCCTCCCCTTAGTGAATAAAAATAGATCGTGTTCAAATTGAAAATTATGACTTATAAGTCAGACCTTAACACGAACACATTTTAACATCCTTATGAGGAGAGTGTGAATGGAAAGACGTAGTGCGTGTAGATTTATTTTTCTTAAGTATAGACAAATTTGAATTTTTGATAACGTAATCTTGTAATTTAAAAATTATTTATACATACTCAATCATTTATCTTGCCACAAAAAAAAATATAATTAAAGCACACACCAATTCTCCATGAAAACTGTCTCTCCAACGATTTTGATTAAATGCAACATAAACAAGTTATACCTAACAATATTAAACAACGATTTCCATTACAACATTCGAGCTTTGTTTGATAGAAAAAATTTCATGAGGATGCAATGTGCTCCTCTTCTGCATTAATGCGGCAAAAAAATTAAAATAATATTATTTAATTAAATAATTACGTATTTATTGCAGTTTTAGAAAAAATTACGGATCTATTGTACACTATGACGCCTCATTTGGGCGTCACATGTGACGCCTCGTTGAGGCGTCTCACCTTAGGGGAAGACGCCCAAATGGGGCGTCTCTCGTGTGGCGTTGAGACGTGTCACTTTTTTTTCCAAAAAAAAATTAATTTAATCATAAAACTTCTAAAGGCCATAACTTTTGACTCGAGTATCCAAATCAGGTAATTCTTTTTTGATTCCACATAACTTTTCGAGATCTACGCAATGACATCTCATTTGATATATTTTATTTCTCATGAATGTTTTTCAAAAATAAAATTACCTAAATTAGGCGTGATTTCTTCTTGATTGAAACACAACTTAGACATGATTGTTGATGTGTTACGTTTTGACACGTGTTGACACGTGTCACATTTTTTAACTCAGAAGCCTCTGAGTTCTGCGTTTGTGATTTAATACAAAAAACAAATCAAGATTTACCCAATGGGTGCAGCTCAGTTGGTAACTTGGCGCTGAGTTAGTGGGGTTGGATATGTGTTTGATTCCCGCTGAATGCATTCTTGGGGAGGGGGCTGAACCTTTAGCCATCACTGGTTCCGTTCCCCCGCACTCCGGATTAGTCCCATAGCCGGTTCAAAGAGTCGAAGCTCGTGGGAATACCGGAGGGAGCCAACTCGTCTCAAAGAGATAATTAGGGTTGAGTAACTCGAAAAAAAAAAAACAAATCAAGATTTGACGTGTGATTTAAATTAAAAGTAACAATTATTATTAATAAGGAAAACAAAATAAAGATTTGATTTTTGATTTAAACTCAAATATACATATAATTTGAAAAACTATTGTGAGAAATAAAATATATCAAATGAGATGTCATTGCGTAGATCTCAGAAAGTTATGTGGAATAAAATATATGTGGAGTCAAAAATTATGGCATTTAGAAGTTTTATGATTAAATTAATTTTTATTGGAAAAGAAAGTGACACGTGTCAACGCCACACAAGAGACGTCCCATTTGGGCGTCTTCCCCTAGGGTGAGACGTCTCAATGAGGCGTCACATGTGACGCCCAAAAAGGGGAGCGTCACAATGTGCAATAGATCCGTAATTTTTCCCAAAACTGCAATAAATGCGTAATTATTTAATTAAATAACATTATTTTAATTTTTTTGCCGCATTAATGCTACATAAACAAGTTATACCTAACAAGTATTCAACAACGATCTCCATTCCAGCAATCTCCATTCGAGCTTTGTTTCATAGAAAAAATTTCATGAGTATGCAATGCTCTCCTCTTCTGCATTAGGTGCGATCTATATGTAGCATCAGATTGCTAAGTGTTAAAAATAATATCAACAAACAGACTAGGTTTTTTTATCGAAGATTGATGCTTCAAAATAACAGTTGCTTAAATAATATTGTCTTTCTTCCCTACCAACAGGGTACACAGAAATAGAAATAAAAACAACTGAAAATTTTATAGAATGGTAATAAAAAACTAGTGCTAGCCGGAACAGAACTATCCCCTACACAGAGACAATGAACCGGCAACAGGAAGTTGCATCATGTTATTCATCTTTACCTAAAGCCACCGCAATAAAGCAAAGATTAAAATCACATGTCATGTTGCTGATAATCTTCCTCTTCTTCCTCTTCATATTCTTCCTCATCAGCAGTGGCATCTTGATACTGTTGATATTCTGAAACCAAGTCATTCATGTTGCTTTCAGCCTCAGTAAATTCCATCTCATCCATGCCTTCACCAGTGTACCAATGCAAGAAAGCCTTTCTCCTGAACATAGCAGTGAATTGCTCACTCACCCTTCGGAACATTTCCTGAATTGATGTTGAGTTTCCAATAAATGTTGAGGCCATCTTCAACCCTGTTGGAGGAATGTCACAAACAGTGGATTTGACATTGTTTGGAATCCATTCAACAAAGTAGGAGGAGTTCTTGTTCTGAACATTGATCATTTGTTCATCAACCTCCTTTGTGCTCATCTTGCCTCTGAACATTGCAGAAGCAGTGAGGTATCGTCCATGCCTAGGGTCAGCAGCACACATCATGTTCTTTGCATCCCACATTTGCTGTGTGAGCTCTGGCACACTCAGAGCCCTGTACTGCTGAGAACCACGTGAGGTTAAAGGAGCAAACCCCACCATGAAAAAGTGAAGGCGAGGGAAGGGAATGAGATTCACTGCAAGTTTTCGCAGATCAGAGTTCAGTTGACCAGGGAACCTCAAACAACATGTGACACCAGACATGGTTGCTGATATCAAATGGTTTAGATCACCAACTGCACCAAAGAAAATCAACAAAGTTAAAATTCTGATAGATTAAAACAAGGGTTAAAAATGGGGTTTTGAAAAGCTTACAGCTTGGGGTGGTGAGCTTCAAGGTACGGAAGCAAATATCGTACAATGCTTCATTGTCAAGCACCATACATTCATCTGCATTTTCAACAAGCTGGTGAACAGAGAGAGTAGCATTGTAGGGTTCGACCACAGTATCAGAAACCTTGGGAGAGGGAAAAACTGAGAAAGTAAGCATCATCCTATCTGGGTATTCTTCCCTGATCTTCGAAATCAACAGGGTACCCATTCCAGACCCAGTTCCTCCACCAAGAGAATGGCACACCTGGAAACCTGCACAATAAATAAATAATAAATAAGCCACCCCATTGCAAAATCATCCACAAAACACACTCAAAGTTAGCACCTTTTACGAAAGAAAAAACACATACATCTCAAAACCACCCACAAAACCCTTCAAAGTACAGATACCCATGTCAAGATCAGTGATAAAACACACGAAAGTTTTCACCTTTGGTAAAGAAAACAGATACCCGTGTCAAGATCACCCACCAAAACCCTCAAATAAAACAACTTCGACATTTCACATACCCAATTCAAAATCAGCCATAAGAACACACAAAAGTTTCAACCTTCAGCTAAAAAATACCCATACAATATCAAATCACCATCAAAACACTTCAAAAACACACGAACTTCTCACTTTACAATTAAAAAAAAAACACAAATAAGCAAATCAGTACCAGAATCAAACATACAAAAGTTTCAACCTTTCATGAGAAATGAAAAAGCATACCCTGCAAGCAATCGCAGTTCTCAGCTTCCTTACGAACAACATCAAGCACAGAATCGATGAGTTCAGCGCCTTCTGTGTAGTGACCTTTAGCCCAGTTGTTCCCAGCACCGGACTGACCGAAAACGAAGTTGTCCGGTCTGAAGATCTGGCCGTACGGTCCAGACCGGACACTGTCCATGGTGCCCGGTTCAAGGTCCATGAGAACAGCACGTGGCACGAACCGGCCACAACTGGCTTCATTATAATAGACATTGATCCTCTCGAGCTGAAGCTCGGAGTCACCACCGTACCTTCCGGTTGGATCGATGCCATGCTCAGCACAGACCACTTCCCAGAACTTAGCACCGATCTGGTTGCCACATTGGCCACCCTGAATGTGAAGGATCTCACGCATCTTGAAGGTGTTTGAAGAAATGCCGCACAGAAGAAGAAATAATAAGAACAAGGAAATGAGTCGTAAAGGGTTTTTGTTTTGGGTGGGGACGATAAGGTGGAGAGAGTTCTTTTTTATAGAAAAGTTGGTGACTTTTTGTTGCAACGGTTGGATTTTGAATGAGAGGGGTTTGGATTTTATTTTATTTTATTTGATTTTTATTGGTTTTTAGTGAAATGTGAGCTGTAAATATTGTAAAATGAAATAGGAAAGAGAGTTTCAGAGTTTTTTGAAATTTCAAAATTTGAAAACACCAGCTGGATACTACTGTTTTTGTGGACCCTTTGCTTTATTTAGAGGGAAAATGGGTCATACTCTCTCTCTCTCTCTAAGGATGGAAAGTGAGTGGCTGGCATTAATTTAGTAAAAACTGAAACAGAAGAGTTTTTATTGAAATTTAAAACTTCTGATTTCTCATAAAACTTTAAAAGTTAGTTAATTTATAAGTGTAATTTTTTAAAAAAGGAAGTAAAAAAAGTTATAATCACATGTCTCTTTCTCTACATATAAGCATACTTATTCAAACTAATGGAGCCTTATGTTTGAATTTAAATTTTGTTCAACGTTGGTTGAAAAGGATGTAGGAATAATGCAATGAAATTCAAACTATTTTTTCTTATATAATAAATTTAAGACCTCACTATTTAAGATAAAATAATTTCTGTACGTTATTTTTTATTAGTAACTTTCTTGTAATAAATCTTATTTTATTATTTTATTATTATTAAATTAATATTCATGTCATGTACAATATAGTATAATATATGATGAATATATAGTTAATAATAAAAGTTAATAACTTAAAAAAATAATTATTCAGAAAATATAATTAATTTCATGATTTATGTCATAGGATATTTGAAATTAGAATTTACATGCAATTAAGTTAATTTATATCAATTCAGAGGAAGGGGGTTGATTTGTTTCCTTAGCTTTCAAGATATACTTTATCAATTTTTTATATTTATATTTGTTTATTAGGCAAAAGCACCCATCTAAGAATATTTGTTAAAAGTTATACTCACTTAAAACACATTTGAAATGTTTCATTGAACTAAGGCACTCAATGACATAGGTGAACTTGACACATTCAGTCTCGTCAGAAACCGTTACGTGACTGAGTGACATGTCACATAATGGTATGTCCCTTCATTCATATGTACAATTATACACTTAAAACACGATTTTTCTGTCAACTTCGACGCATATATGTGAATGAAGACAAAATAGTATAATAGTATTTCACGATACAATTGTTTACGATATAGAAAGTTAGAAACTAGACAAACACTAAAATGTGTGATTAAAAAATTTCAACATGCAGCCAGTGGCGTTAGAGGTGTTGACACGCAGTGGCAAACCTAGAAAATTATATGAAGAGGGGTGAAAATTTTAACAAATTCAACTTATAAAATTTTAAATAAAATATAATTTAACAAGTATACTAAATTGGATGAATTTAACATAGATTATTTGGCTTTTTTTTTATCTCTGTAGCCTTTTTGTAATAATTAATTACCAAATTGACCCTATTTATAAACTATTTCAAAAATTTAATCTCTCCAAAAAACATAACATTAATCTGCCCCTGTTTGACCCTTGACCATGAAGCCTACCCGGGTACACCCCTACCTACCCGGGTATATTTTGAAATTTTTTACTTACCCAGATACACCCCTTCCTACCCGGGTATATTTCTTAAATCTGAAAAAATGTTTGAATTATTTACCCGGGTACAGAGGGGTGTACCCGGGTAAATAACAAAAGCTAGTCATGAATGGTACATATTTGTATTTGATCATGTGTGATATCTGTCTCCTCATAGTAAGCGTGAATAGTACTACCCAGTAGAAGAGAAGTATTGGCCAGAACACTGGAACATCAAACGCACTAAAGAAAGTCATCACAAATGCAATGCAAAATGCCTTTGTGATAGAGTACCTGCACATAAAGGAAAATTAAGCACAGCTTCAGTAAAAGCAACCGTCTGCATGTCAAAACAATTTTAAAGGTGTTCTCATAGCGAACTTATATGGATTGAGCAACGAAGTTCTGAGATTTTGTTATTTACCCGGGTACACTCCTCTGTACCCGGGTAAATAATTCAAACATTTTTTCAGATTCAAGAAATATACCCGGGTAGGAAGGGGTGTACCCGGGTAGGTAAAAAATTTCAAAATATACCCGGGTAGGTAGGGGTGTACCCGGGTAAGCTTCATGGTCAACGGTCAAACAGGGGCAGATTGGTGTTATGTTTTTTGGAGAGGTTAAATTTTTGAAATAGTTTATAAATAGGGTCAATTTGGTAATTAATTATTAAAAAAAGGCTATAATGGTCAAAAAGCCTAGATTATTTCATTGACATGTGCCATGTCAACAATGAAAAGTAGGAGAATCACAGCCTTAAACGAAAAAGCATGTACAACGATCTCAAGAGATGCACCCATTAAATAATTTTAATAACAAATATAATCACATAACTAAAATAAATCCAAAAAGAGGGGGAAGCTGGTATAACCCAAATTAGGCAAGCACCTAAAACTAACATCATAAAGTTCCATAATGCCCACAACACCACAGACCCATCAACTTCAATTATCAAGCACCATAAAGCTAAACAAATAAATTCCAAAAATTATTGCAAACTATAATTATTTTATACCCATTTTTTTTCTTTCACTTTCTGTTGGTTTTTGAGCATTCGAACAGCATGAAACTACAAAAAGATCACAACTTTAGAAGAGAAAGTGAAAATACTCACAACAGGAAAATGGGTATCAAGCTTCTTTCTCATGCTAACAGATTTTGGGTATCAAATGAAGCAAAAGAAAGAGACTCGGAAAGTGAAATCGAAAGCTTTGAACAAAAACACTGTACCGATCATCAACAAGGTGAAATCAATTCAACTCATTTCAGATCCAAACGACACACAATGCTAATTTTGTTAAAGTAACCCACCAGTTATGAAAAATAAAATATACTATGTATTTTTTTGGGGATGTAGACATTTTTTTTCAGATTTTAGAGAGGGCGGCCGCCCATGCACGCCTCGCATGTAGGTCCGCCTTGGCCACTGGTGGCGTCGAGCTGCGTGATAGATCTAGTGGCGTCATATGTGGTGACTGGAATTAGTTGATTGGCTGACATGTCACTAGGTCACTTAATGGTTTCTGATGGGACTAAATCCGTCAAGTCCACCTATGTCATTGATTTCCTTAGTCTGGTAAAATGTTTCAAATGTGCTTTAACTAGGTATAAATTTTAACAAATATTCTTAGATGGGTGCTTTTGCCTTGTTTATTAGCTTCAATATACCTTGTAAATGTGCCTTTCATTTTTATATTTAGTGACTACTTTAGGCTATTGTTGGGCATATGAAGATGTTTCTCTCCCTTTTCTGCTTGTGGTGCAATTTTTCTATCACAGGTGAGAATATAATTAAGCATATGATTGATTTCAAAAGTTTTGTTTTCTTAATATTCATCAAGGCCTGTAGCATATTGCTCGCAGGAAAAAAAATCATCGAGCAACTTTTAAAATATATTATTTAAATAATACAAAAGTTAAATATTTTACTAAAATAATATAATAAGACATGTATGGATGTGTGCATTCAAGTCACCTAGAGGGAAAATGGGGTGATTGACCCTTTTGCCCCTTATTAAATTAAAAATTACAATTTTCCCCTGACCCAAAACTTTACATCAACATGTCCCTATTTGATCATTGATTGGATAATGTAACCAATTACTGAGTAAACAAAATCGATTAAGTATCAGATTTTAACGTAATTGATTACAAAAATTGTGTAATCAATTACAAAAATGTAATTTTGACCGTTGACCTATTATTTAATCGATTACAACAACGGCGTAAACGATAAATAATGACAGGGTTGTTTTTTAATAAAAAAACCTCCATTTGGCCGAAGGGGGTTATAAATGATAGTGTGATGACCACCCCAAACCCTAAGAGAGAGAAAAGAATCTCAATTGATTTGAAATTGTTAAAAATGAAAGGTACAAGAGAGTTTTTGTTAATACAACTCTTATATACTAAGCTTCTACATTCGCAAATATCGAATTTGACACAACTAACTCAGCTAACCTACTAACTAATTAGATAATTAATAAATATAAACACATGAAAAAACTATAGTAACTTGAGAGAACTTGAGAGCTGAAATAAACTGTAACACCCTTCTCAAGTTGGGAGGCAGAGGTTTCGAAGACCCAACTTGCCATCAAGTTTTTGAATGAACCTGATGACAAGTTTTTCATGAAGAGGTCTACCAACTGAGTAGCGCAAGCTATAGGAAGTAGATGAATGAGGCCATCACTGATTTTCTTTCTTATCAAACTGGGGTTGTTCTTTGGTGAATAAAATAAACTATTCCCAGGCGTTCCCTTTAAGTACCGAATGACATATACTACGATTTTCATATGTAAGTCAGTGAGATTAGATATATACTGACTTAATTATTGTACTGCATACCAAATTTCTGGTCTAATAGTTTTCAAATAGAGAAGCCTCCTTACGAGTCTCCGATAACTAGCCATATCATCATAAGGCTCTCTTTTATCTCGTTCTAACTTCACTCCAAGCTCCAAAAGAGTTGAGCTAGGCTTGGATCCCAACACACCTCTATCAGATATAACTTTAAGTGCATACTTGCATTGATTTACCATCAACCCTTCTTGTAATCGAATGATTTCCAAACCCAGAAAAGTTGATATTTCTTAGGTCTTTGATTTTAAAATATGAACCAAGCATCTTCTTAATATAATATATCTTAGCTTTGTTATTACCCACAAGGACTATATTATCAACATATATCAATAATATTGTGAATAAGTTTCCTTCAGGTTTGACAAGTAAGGAGTGATCAGTTTGTGATTGTTTGTATCCAATTGACATAAAAAATGAACAAAGACGTGAATACCATTGTATGCTCGCTTGTTTAAGACCGTATATCAATTTTTGTAGCTTGCAAACCAGATTGGGCTGAGGGAGCTTTACAGCAAGTGATGGTACTATGTACACCTTTTCCTTCAATTCTCCAT